GAATCCCCCATACATCATGAGATTTGGACAGTGACCAAACCCAACTTTCCTGGAAGGATGGAAGGATGTTGTGTGTGTGTGTGTGTGTGTGTGTGTGTGTGTGTGTGTGTGTGTGTCTAGGCAGCGTTTTGCCGCAGTCCCTCTTTTGATTTGTGCCTGACATTTCAGTATATTCCTCTTCCAACCTGCTGATTAGATCCAGGCCCTGGGCTCGCTCAGAGACATGCTCCTGGCCTGAACTCCCCCTGTAGGAGCTTCAAGATCAGCTCAGTGCAGCTGGCCTCCAGTTTTGTCTGGGTGGGTCAACACCCACTTAAGAGCTTCACCCTCTCGTCCCACTCATTCTTTTGCGGAGTTTTCACACTGTTCTCTGTGTGTGGTCTCGGCGCTTTGGCCCTCGGTAGAGACAGTGGCCAGGCAGTTCCCTGCTATAGCTGCAAGGATGACTTCATTTGACAGCTGTGTTCACTTTCGGATCAGTTTCTCCAGGCAAGGGCAACAAAAGCAAAAATAAACAGATAGGAAAATGTCAAACTTCTGCACAGCAAAGGAAACCATTAACAAAACAAAAAGGCAACCTACAGAATGGGAGAAGATACAAACTTGACAAGGGGTGGATATCCAAAATATATAAAGAACTCTTACAATTCAATAATAAGAAGGCAAACGATCCTATTAAAAAATAGGCAGAGGGGCACCTGGGTGGCTCAGTCGGTTAAGTATCCGACTCTTGATTTCAGCTCAGGTCATGATCTCAGGGTGGTGAGATCATGCCCGCATCCGGCTCTGTGCTCAGCACGGAGTCTGCTTGAGATTGTCTCTCTCCATCTCCCTCTGCCCCCAAACCCCCAACTCATACTCTCTCTCTCTCAAATAAATAAATAAAATCCTTTAAAAAATGGGCAGAGTACCTGAATAGGCATTTTTCCAAAGAAGACATCCAGATGGTCAACAGGCACGGGAAAAGATGCTCAACATCACTCATCATCAGGGAAATGCAAATCAAAACCACAGTGAGCTATCACCTCATATGTCAGAATGGTTATTATCAAAAAGACACGAAATAACAAGTGTTGGCAGGGAGAAAAGGGAACCCAGGTGCACTGTTGATGGGAATGTAAGTTAGTGCAGCCACCATGGAAAACTGTATGTTGGGGGTTCCTCAAAAAATTGAAAATAGAACTGTCATATGACCCAGCAATTCTACTTCTAGGAATTTATCTGAAGAAAATGAAAACACTGGTTTGAAAAGATATATGCACCCCTATGTGCATTGCAGCATTATCTACAATAGCCAAGATACAGAAGCAAGCTAAGTTTTCATCAAAAGATGAAAGGATAAAGAGGTGGTGTGTGTGTGTGTATGTACACACGATGGAATATTACTCAGCCATAAAAAAGAATGAAATCTTGCCATTCGCGACAACATGGATGGACCTGGAGGGTATTATGCAAAATAAGTCAGAGAAAGACAAATACCATATGATTTCACTTTTATGTGGAGTCTAAAAAAACAAAACAAATGAAGAAACAGAACAAAACAGAAACAGACTCATAGATACAGAGAACAAACTGGTGGTGGCCAGACGGGAGGGAGGTGGGGGGGGCCAAACAGGTGAAGGGGATTAAGAGGTACAAAGTTCCAGTTATAAATTAAGTAAGTGAGAGGGATGTCATTTACAGCATAGAGAATATAGTCAATAATATTGTAGTAACTTTAGGGCACCTGGCTGGCTCAGTCAATAGAGCATGTGACTCTTGATCTCAGGGTCCTGAGTTTGAGCCCCATGTTGGGTGTAGAGATTACTTTAAAAAAAATTTTTTTTAAATATTGTAATAATTTTGTATGAGGACGGATGGTAACTAGACCTATGTTGGTGAGCATTTTGTAGTGTATAAAAATATCAAATCACTATCTAGTAAATCAATTATAAATCAATAAAAAATTAAAATGTTTAAAACTGGGAGAAAAAAAAGAGCTATAAAGCATGCCACAGAGATGCATGGCCTCCCACCCACAAGGTGCTCAAGGGCTGAGGCCCATAGAAGGCTGCCGACTGCGTAAGATTCAGATTTGTCCCTTGAAGGCGGATCTCAGCCAGTCCCTTTTATTTCCAGGGAAAGCCTGGTTAGATCCCCGGAAGTATTGTGTATATTTCAAGAATTGAATTTGGGGTTTTTTCCCAGCAGCAAGATTTTGATAATCCTAGAATCTGAGTGATGGGTTCACAGGGATTTATTAAATGAATTCCTTTTGCAAATGTTTAAAATTTTCATACCTAAACATTTTAGAAAGTCATTTTGGGTCCATTGGCACTTTGTCAAGCAAAAACCAACAGGGTGCTTTGGTAAGCCTAAGAACCAGGAGGGTGAGGCGGCTGGGTCAGTGTACTGCTGGGAGCTTATGGATGTACAGAGCAGAGCCCAGATGAAGCTTCAGGCGGAAGCAGTTCGCTTTGTGACAGAAGTATTCTTTGTCCTATACCAGGACATATCAAACGGGTTATATATACTGAATTTGATTTAGAGATTTTTTTCCAATTTAATGCTTGTATCACACATATGTTCAAGGATTTGGAGGAATTCTTAAACCATAACTAAAAGCAGTTTATTTACTAACTTTATCAAGTTATAGCTACTTGTTCCAGTATCATCCATAATCACAAAGATGTTACAAGTCCAAAACCAACTTAGGTCTTTGACAACTTGAGCTACCCGTAAGAAGCTACCTCTGGATTTATTGTAAGAAAAATTGATGTAACATTTTTTAATTAATAATAAACCCATTGTTGAAGCCACTTTTAGTTGGTATGACATATATAGAAATTATGTCTGCACTAGGATTCTTTGGGTTGCAAGAGACAAACCCAACTTGAATGCATTTCAATAAAAAAGATGGTTAACTGGAGGGACGCTGGGGAGGGGGTGTGGCTTACAAAGGACGGAACAGCTGCAGGAATGACAGCAGCTCCACGGAACTCAGAGTCCTGGCCCAGGGATTTGATGCCCCCAACATGCTTTCTTTGCATCTCTCTGTGTGACAAATTCATTTTCTCAGGCTTTTTTATGTGATAAAGGACATGGTTACCAGCCTGCCCTGGAGTCTCATTTTACAATGATCTGAACGTACTTCAACAGAAAAATCCCAAGGTAAGACTCTCATTGGCTCAGCTTGAATCACATACTCATCCTGGGCCAATCACCGTGGTCAGAGGGCTAGGGTAAGATTAGTCCATTCTGGGCCGTGTGTCCATCCCTGTGGTCAGGTGTGTTACCAGGAGGGAGAGAGGTGATGGGCAGAAAAAGATAACAGCCACCACAATGACCATAATCCTGGCAGTTAGGCAAGTGCACTCAGAAGACAAAGCAAAGCAGGAGCAGTGTTTTGTTTTATTTTGTTTTTGAGAGAGAGAGAGAATGAGTGGGAGGGACAGAGGGAGAGGGAGAGAGAATCTCAGGCAGACACTGTGCTGAGCGCAGAGCCTGATGTGGGGCTCAATCTCACGACCTGAGCCGAAGGCAGACACTTAATCAACCTCTCCACCCAGCTGCCCCAGGAGTGGTTTTTATTGTAGCTAAGAGCCCAGGGTTCAAAGGCACAAGGACCTAGATTCAGTCCTGGTGCCACCACCACTCCTCTGAGTTCTTAACTTCTCTGTACCTCATCTTATTTATCTTGTCAAAGACCAAACCGGGACAAGTAAGGAGATTGATTTTTATTCAGGTTATGGCAATAGGGAGAGCACCCCAGATCAGACATCATCATGTACATTACCTCAGGTCAAGTACAACACTGTTAAACTATAAAATGCTGAAAATAATATCCATCTCATCAATGTGATGTGAATTAAATAATCTATGTAATCACTTAGCACAGTGCTGGGCACACACAGGGTTGCCATATTCAGCCAATAAAAATACAGGACAATATAATGTCCTGTATGTGGCATAAAATAAGGCAATATTTGGATTTGGAATATACTTATTATTAAAAACGTATCTGAAATTCAAATTTATGTGTTCTATTTTGTCTGGCAACCTGTGGCACACAGTGAGGTGAGAAGCGTTAACTTATTATTGGGAACAGGGAGACTTATCTTCAATACATATCCCAAAGACAGGATTTCTCTTCCTGATAAATACAACTTTTCTTTGAAGATAATCTCGTCCCAGAAGAGAACTGGCAGGGGTGGGGGCTGGAGAGATGGTGGCCACAGACCATCTCAGGGCTTCTTCAAAGTAAAGCTCACCTGCTTTCTCCATGCCCTCTTCCCCGACTCTGGCCTTGGTCACCTTTTTGGAAGTATGAAGTGGAAACACAGAGACTCCCACTATAGAGCCTCAATGCCTGGAAGGAAGGTACTGTCTCTAGCCACCTCCCAACCTCCAGCTGAGTTGGGGACGGGCAGGTGCTTTTTCAGTGCTAACTTGAGCTCCAAAGCACCATGTACAAGGAGCGGGAGGATCTGTGCTCCTGTTTTATTTGAAAACCAAATTTCACCGGGGGGGGGGGGGGGGGGTCTCTAAAATTCCGGGAAACTGCTGCAGTGGGGTGGAAGTCTGAACTGGGCGACATTGTTGGTTCTAAGGTAGCTCTGGGTCGCTCCTGTAAAGCGAGAATAACAACGCCTACGTGTTTTCTCACGAACACCACCCTATACTGTAATCCCTTGCCTCTTTTGTTTTCCCTGAGATAGAACGAGCTCCTTGAGGTTAGGTGTTGCGCCCGGCCGGCTCATCCCCAGAGCCGGGCACAGCGCCGGGCGCAATGTCTGTGGAATGAACGAGTGGGAAGTCGTGGAAAGGAAGACCCGGAAGCCTCACCGCAGGACGCGCCCCGCAGGACCCACTGCAAGGCAAACCTTCGCTTCATTTCCGCCGCCAGGAAGCCTCGCAGCTCCAGCTCCCAAAGAGCCCGCCTTTCCTCCCAGGATGCTCCGCGCCGGCGCGTCCCGTGATTGGCTGCGCCGCCCCCACGTGATGCTGGGCTGGCGGCGGCGGTTGCCGGGGCGACAGCTGGAGCAGGAGTGGCCGAGCCGGTTAAGGGAGGGTGTCCGCGGCCGTGCAGCAGGTAAGCTTGTCCTCCGACGCGGCCCGGCTGCCCCGGCACCCGCAGCCCGCGGGCGGGAAGGGGCTGTGGTGGGGCCCCAGGGCCCAAGATCTGCGGGGCCCTCGCCCCGGAGGAAAGCCAGCTTGGCAGCCGCTGCCGAACGCCCCCACTTCTGGTCAGCCGCCCTGGGCTGTTACTCTGGCGTGGGCCCGAGGCGGCCTCCTGGACAAACCGAGGACAGGCCCAGCTGCTTCCCGCAGGTAGTCCCTGATCTGGGCCTCAGTAGGCCAGACTTGGAGGGGGCGCAAGTCTCCAGCTGGGTAGTGACGGCGTAAGCGGGTAGCCTGGGGCTTTTAGATCCAGCCCCTCCGTTTTCTGCATCAGCTAACCTCCTCCCCAGACTTCATCTGGTCTAAGCAAAACTAGGATCCTAGCCATGCAAATTCGTCTTCCAGACAAATCCCATAGCCTTCCCCTTAGCTAGCTTGTAGGTCCTAAAGCCCTTTATATAGAAAATAAGAAGCCGCCATACTGCAACCCCCACGAGTAGCTGAAGAAGTTTTCTCTAGTTTTTGCATAAAGTAGAGCAGTGGTTCTCAAACTTGAGTGTGCATAAAAGAGAGCTTGTTTAAAGCAATTTCTGGGCATCGTGCCTGCCGTGGTGTTCAGTAGGATCAGGATGGTTCTAGGAATTTTATTTGCACAAGCTGATTCTGATTGAGGTGGTCCCAGCCTTTGGGGTAATGCTGTGTAGTGGTTAATGTCGGTCTGGATTTAAATTCTGACTTTTGTCATTTACTGGCTGGATTATTGGGAGCACCTCAGGCTTCTTGAGCCTCAGTTGCCTCATCTGTAAAAGAATCTAAATAATATTCATCTCTCAGGTGTATTGTGCAAATTAAATGAAACATTTTGCACATTGCCTGGCATACAAAAATTCTTAATAAATGAACTTTTATGATATAAAGGTTTAGAGAAAATTCTAATTTCTAAGTATGTCAGAGTAATAGAATACCGAACAGTGGCTCACATTCACGGAGAGACCATCACAGTAGAATCTTACTCAAATGATGGTCTTGAAGAACTTCTCCGAGGAAGTGATGTTTATTAAGCACAGAGGTTAGCTGGGTGAATAAAGAGGAGGAAAATGTTGCAAGCAGAGAGAAGAGTATGTGCAAAGGCCCTGAGGTAGGAAGGAGCTTGAGTTCTCAAAAACAAAGTTTTCTTGTTCTAGGACCTTCAAAAAAAAAATGCTGTTCTCTCTGCTTGGACTTCATTTATTTGTAAATATCTTGGGTGTCTTATCATGCCTAGCAGACTCTGTTAGGCTCTGGAGGGATCAAATTTATTTGTTTATTTTTATTTATTTGAGAGAGTGCGTGAGTGGTGGGGGGCTTGAGGAGAAGCAGAGGGAGAGGGAGAGACAGAATCTTAAGCAGGCTCCACACCCAGCGTGGAGCCAGACACGGGCCTCTATTTCACGACCTTGAGATCATGACCTGAGTCGAAATCAAGAGCTGGATGCTTAACCAACTGAGCCACCCAGGTGCCCCTGGAGGGATCACATTTAAATCCACCTCACTGCCTTTGTAAACAGGGTAATAAGTGTAGCAGTAGAAGTAAATGTAGAGTTCAGAGGTACCCCAGAGGAGGGAGAATAGCCTTGATAGGGAAGGAAGGGGAGGGGTTCCCGGGAGACCTCCTGAAGGAGGTCAGTTCTGGGTTGTTAGCATGTTGTGTCAAGTTTGTGATGGGGCAAGTATATCAAACAGAAGTTTTGGAGTTGTGAAAAAGCATGTGGTACCGGGGAATGGCCAGGGTTTACCACTGGTGGGCCTGATGTGGGGAAGGGGGAGAGGGGCAGGGGTGGTGTGGTTCCAGAGAAGGGCTGCAGAGATGGTGGTCCCCAACAGTAGGCGGTCTTTCTCCTCCTTGTGTATCTGGCAGGACTGTAGGTCCCGGGAAGGGTAGGTGTCCTGTCCTCCCTGCTACTTCTAGACCACTGCCTCCCTGCTTCAGAACCCCCACCTGTTTTGAAGTACATGCTCTGGGCTTTACCACTCGCCACCCCTCCTTGAGGCTGTCACCTAGCGGGGCGCAGTTGTTACTCCGTGAAGGCTGTAGCGCCTGGCTTCCTGTCTCTACCTCAGTTCTGGAGATGTTACCATCCTGGCTGCTCACTCCGGTTTCATCTTTTAGGCATCTCTTTTGTCCATTCTCTTTATCCACCACTCCCATGGTCATGAACATTTTACTACTGCATCACCTCTAAAATCAAGCACCCATTCTGTTCTGATCACACTTTTTCAAGCTCCCATCAATGTGTCTCAGAAGCAGATCTTAGGTGCCATGCCTCGTTAAGCAGGTGTTTGAGCCTGTTGCTTTTTCACTGCCCTAGAACCCCCCGTGCACCTCCCTTCCTCCGGCCCCACTGCTCCATCACTGTTATACTTGTTTTCTCTTTCCCCTGTCTTCTGGAAAAACCTCACCTTGGCTAACCTAACTCAGACAGCTGGAAGAGGCTGGAGAAACTGCAGAATTATGCAGACTGGTTCCATTTTGGATTTGAATCCATGTGTCTTAAGCAGACTCCCGATACTGGAAATCCTGCCCTGGTCGGTAGTCAGCTTGGTTCCCGCCTTCTCTTCTTTTCCAGCTATCAACACGCATCTTCCCGCTGATGACCTTGTTTCTTGTTCTACTCATCGCTGAGTCTGTCCGTTTCTTTGGACAGATTCCAGGAGATGGTACTGACCCATCTCCTCTGCCCTCCCTCTGTGTCAGGGGATGGACTGTCCCTGCCCTATCTAGGGCCAGCCCTCCAGCTGGACACTGGATGTGGCCGGGACCTTGCTTCTTTGACCATCTCCTCTCTTCTGCCTCAATTTGTCCTTCTCTAACTGGGTCCTTCCCATCAACTTACAAACCTACTGTTTATAATATCTTCCTCCTTAGAAAACCTCCCATATCTTTCTAACCACCACTCGATCACTCCTCCCCTTTTTGTGACAGATCTCCCTGTCCCTTCTTTGTGACTTCTCTTCCTCTCTTTAACCCTTTCCATCAGGTGCCTCTCTTCATTGCTCTTGCCCATGTCACTGTCAAACTCCATGTTGCCAAATCCAGGGCTCAAGTCTTCTGCCCGCATTTTACTCAACCATGTGTAGTCACAGTTGATGTGGGGAACGCCTTCCTTGGCTTCCAGGTTCCACAGTCTCCCGGCTGTGTCCCACCGATAAGTCACTGCTCTTGGCTTCATCTTTTGCTGGCTGCCTCTCTTCTTCCTGAGCCCTCAGTCCCCCAGTGCTCCAGGGTTCAGGCACAGGCCTGAGCTCTGCTCTGCTACGCCTTCTCCTTAGGAGTCCTGGTCTGTTTGGGATCCTTGTCTCCTGAAATGCTATCTTTATGCTGACAATTTCCAAATGCTTACCTCCAGCTCCCACCTTTCCTTTTTTTTTCTTTTTTTTTAAATTTAAATTCAATCAGCATATAATGCATTATTAGTTTCGCAGGTAGAGTTCAGTGATTCATCAGTTTTATATATAACACCCAGTGCTCATTATATCACATGCCTTCCTTAATGTCCATCACCCAGTTACCCCATCCCCCCGCCTCTCTCCCCTCCAGCAACCCTCAGTTTGTTTCCTGTGGTTAAGAGCCTCTTGGGGCGCTTGGGTGGCTCTGTCAGTTAAGTGTCTGCCTTCAGCTCAGGTCGTGGTCCGAGGGTCCTGGGATCGAGCCCCACATCAGGCTCCCCGCTCCGCAGGAAGCCTGCTTCTCCTTCTCCCGCTCCCCCTGCTTGTGTTCCCTCTCTCGCTGTGTCTCTCTCTGTCAAAGAAGTAAATAAAATCATTAAAAAAAGAGCTTCTTATGGTTTGTCTTCCTCTCTGATTTCGTCTTTATTTTTCCCTCCCTTTCCTTATGCTTCTCTGTTTTGTTTCTTAAAGTCCACATGTGAGTGAGATCATATGATAATTGTTTTTATCTGATTGACTTATTTCACTTACCATAATATCCTCTAGTTCCATCCACGTCATTGCAAATGGCAAGATTTCATTTTTTTTAGTGGCTGAGTAGTGTTCCATTGTATATAATATACCACATCTTCTTTATCCATTCATCTGTCAGTGGACATCTGGGCTCTTTTCATAGTTTGGCTATTGTGGACATTGCTGCTATAAACATTGGGGTGCAGGTGCCCCTTCGGATCACTACATTCATATCTTTTGGGTAAATACCTAGTAGTGCAATTGCTGGGTCGTAGGGTAGCTCTATTTTCAACTTTTTGAGGAACCTCCATACTGTTTTCCAGAGTGGTTGCACCAGCTTGCATTCCCACCAAGAGTGGAGGAGGGTTCCCCTTTCTCCTCATCTTCACCAACATCTGTCGTTTCCTGACTTGTTAATTTTAGCCATTCTGACTGGTGTGAGGTGGTATCTCATTGAGGTTTTGATTTGTATTTCCCTGATGCCGAGTG